ACAAATATTTTCAGAACTAATATATATAGTGTGGGATTGCAGGCTTGCAGAGTTCCCTCTAAGTGATAAGGCATTTTATACTCTATCCCACTGCCACAGAATGATATTTAAAGGACAAGGAGAACAAATAGAAAAGTATCTCCCAGGGAAAACAGGCTTAACAAGTTCATATTAAAAGACAATCTAATGAGGACTTTGATAAATTACATTCAGTGTAACTGTGTCAAGCTAACCATGACTGTTCAAGTTAAGGTGCATTAGCTGTAAAAACTCAGAAAGTTACTTGATCTTGGCTGGAGAAGGATGTTTAACAATGAGAGATGGACACAAAACTTCTGTTGTCTAAATCTGATGGAACTGTTTTAATCTCTCAAAAGGTGCCACAGAAATAGGTAAAGTAATCAAAAATTGATAGGAAAGTTCATGTTTTAAGGAGTGCTACTTAACTAGCAATGACTTAGCTATCAACACAAAATAAATATAAAACAAAGCTAGAGATTAATTTACTGGAGTTAAAATTTAGGACTACTTTAGAAAATTTCTACACAAAGATTTCCTCGTCTAATCTTTCATACAAGTTGAAAGAGTGAGGAAACATCCAGAGACCATCCTCAAGAGTACCATAAAGTACATCTGCAAAAATGCCAGAACCTCCATGTATAGGAAATGGTTTTGGCTTAAAGACTAGGGAATTATTGGGTGAGTCATACTAACCATGGCTTCCAGTAACCAGAGTATTTAAGGGGATAAAGTCAGAAAGTGAAACAAATAAAACCAAGATAGAGTAAATAAGACCAGCAATCGTGGTAATAAGTAATCTTAAATTTGTATGACACTTTAGTTTACAAGGCACTTTGATTTTTCAAGTGAGGAAAATTAAACTGAGAAACTTTGGTACAGTGCTGAATGTCACAAAGCTAAAATAACCTGAGTGAAGGAGTTTAACTGGACATTTCAACATCAAGTCTACAGCCCTTTCCATTACTTTGCTTCTCTCCCATCTGAAGGGTAGGCTTATACGGGCTATGGATAGGCCTAGGACACTTTCTAAGATACCTTCAACAAGAGCAGATGTTTCCAAATCCCTTAAGCATATCTTTCAACTTAATCAAGATAACCTAAGGGATAGCCTTAGAAAAATCCCTTGAAAGAATGAAGAACCGCTCAATGTGCATTGAGACAGCATTTTCACGTTTTCCATGTTATAATGCTGATTGAAAAATGCAAGGTGCCATGAACCGTAATATACTACTACTTCCATAAAAACACTGCAGAAAAATACATTTAAATGTAGTTGTTTGCCTGTGCATATATTATCTCTTAAAAGTCCCATAAGAAATTACCAAAAGCCATTCCTTCTAGGAAGGGAAGGAAAATGGTGGCTAAGGGATCAGGGAATAAGAACACAACTTTTCATTGTACATGTTCACCTCTGTGCCTTTTAAATTTTGAACACATGAAAGTGCTACCTTTTCCAAAAAGTAAATTTAAATTTAAGAGTATATAATGGAAATTGGAGCAGAGGCAATGGTTAGGTAATTCAAGGTAAAACATTTCAGGCAGGATGTAGCAGAAAAGCACAAAATATTACAAAGTTTCTGTCAAACTCCAGAATTCCAGGTGGTGCTTCACAGCCTGAAGTAAATATTCCACAAGACCATCAAATCTCTTGAATTTGAATTCTTTGCTCATTGAAAAGCTCTCAATTTTTTTATAAACCTCAAGATGGAGGAAGTAATGTCCCAGTAGTGGACACAGGTATTCAAGTCATGAGAAAGACAGAATTCTTACATGGTAAATAAGATAGTGCCTACTTTAAACCAGTCTCTGGAGAGGTTAAGAGTTATTCCAGGCACACGGATAAAATATGGAACTGCAGAGCTAAAGATTAAGCTTTGGACTAGTACAGCTCCACAAGGGTCTATCCAAAAATCGGTCCTAAACTAGTTAGAGTTACCACTGACATATCTGGAATTTTCAACATGTTTGTCCTTTGTCCTAAAACTATGTAAGTCAGTCCAAAAATTTACCCTAAAGGTCACGATATCTTTGGGTGATGAGGACACCATATCTTTGGGCCTAAAAGTATGTCAAAGCATTTTTTTAAAGGCAATACTTAAGCAGCTCTCTTTGCCACGCAGGAATCACTTCAATGTCTTAGGGGTCCCAGAAACTGGTGAGTCTTGTGCTTAAGAGAGTCAAAAATCCCAGGACCAACAAAACTCGTACTTCGTAAAGAAAACACATGCTTGTTCTCTACTCTGATGTTCGTATTACATAGCTGAAGATAATAACATCCTTAAACAAGTATAAGATTTTAAAAAGAAGAGCCACTGCCAAAGGGTTATTTTAGAACATCAGAAAAAATACTGCTCACAGGTCTGCAATCCAGGGCTACATCATCTGATTTAATATTAATAGATCAGCAATCATTCATCAGGTCCTGTCCAATTAGCTCTTAATTTTCTAAGTAAGAAACAACGTGAGAGGGGCAGAAAAAAAAAAAAAAGAAACAACATGAGACACAGGGATGAATAAACTCAGATCAAAATCTCATTTTCCAAACCAAATAGCTTTTAAATACCTCCTCCCACTACATGTATTTTTTACCAGAGCTAAAACGTAACTTAATTTGATACAAGTGTCTCTTCCTTCCAAGATCCAATAGTTGCCTGTATGATCATGATAACAACCAAAATTAGGGAAAAGGAGGAGGAAAACGAATGAGAAGGACTGAAAGAGTGCAAGGAGCCAGATAATTCACAAACTGAATAAACTGAGACCTAAACAACATGTTATTTAAATGACTTGAAAGATGATGGACATCTTGTCATCTCAAGTTTAATACAATGGCCAAGTTACTGAAGCCACCAAGCCAAAATGTAAAACTAATTTGTGAAAATAAATAGTTTCAGGAACCAGGATTCTACCATTAATAGCCGTTGATAAAGTTTACAACCCAGCAGTTAGTGATTCTCATCAAGAATTAACTAATGTTCATTACCTGATCCCCAGTGATGCTATTGATAAAGAGCAATGGAAAATTTGGTGGAAGAAGTGATGAATCAAGCTCTCCCTTCCATGCGCTATATTTCATTGGAATATGAGTAAGTATGAGTGGTAGGAGAAATGGAGAGTTGGGGGTAGTACTAATCATCAAAATGGCATTTGATTCCCCAAATGTGGGGAGTCACTCTAGTGGGTTGCTTCACTGTGACTCAAGATTTGTTAACTGAGGACATAAGGGAATTTGAGTAAAGCCAGTAGACATACTCCTAAATTTTACACTGAAATGTTCCAATAAGTCTAGGACAAGATTTAATAAGAGTCACCTATAAGAAATTAACCTACTCAACATAATCAGATTCTAAAGTACTTTTTAAAGCAAATTCTTGCTAAGGCAAAAATTCAGGAGAGAAGTCTGGGGACATACTTTCCTAAAAGTACATGCCACTTATCTTTTGGAAGAGGACATTAAAATATACTATTAGGTGTTTAAACCAATGTATCATTCCCCTGTTCTTAAGAAGAACGTAACATTATTTTTCTAAAATAAAAGGTAATTACCTAAGAGCATCAATTACCTAAGAGCATCAATTAGGCATGTACTTCCCTTCTCAATATCTATAAATACAGATACATTTGAATCTTTGTTATAGACCATGTGCCCAAAATGTTATATGGCAAAAAACTGTGGTAAATCCACTGCATTACGAACAGGAGCAAATTTAACAATAGCTCCCAAAATGGGAACTATTCCCTTCTCCCCAAAGGGAAAATAATTTCCCCAACTTCTCCAATTACATCCCAAAGAATGCAGAAAGAAGGGCAGCCCCGGTGGCTCAGCGGTTTAGCGCCACCTTCAGTCCAGGGCCTGATCCTGGAGACCCAGGCCCGAGTCCCACGTCGGGCTCCCTGCACGGAGCCTGCTTCTCCCTCTGCGTCTCTGCTTCTTTCTCTCTCTCTCTCTCTCTCTCTCTCTCATGAATAAATAAATAAAATCTTTTAAAAAGAGAAAATTAAGGAAACAATATTCACAGAAGTTTGAATCTATAAATTTTCAGTGCTAATAACCCAGCCTTCACTTATAACCAAGCTTTCCTATCATACTGATTTTTTATTGGATCAAATCATGCGTCTTGGAGGGCACAGCAAAGACAATTCACAGCGCTCATATTTCACCATTTTCGCCTTTGTAATGACCCCAGAAGCGACAAATCTGATGCATCCACCCCGTTTCTTTCTCTCCACCGATTAAACGGATCCTGCACTCCAGCCACGATCTGCCGCTAGTTTCTCCCACCGCACGTGCCCTGCGCCCGCGCCCGCGCGCGCGCGCACACACACACACACACACACACACACACACAGCCTCCAACGCACTTCACGGCCAGGGCCAGGCTGTCTAGAAATCCGCACTGTGTCACAGCATATACGGCAGGTTCCCACTTCACACATCCAGGAAGAAGAAAGCCCCCCACCCCCACCCCCACCCCGCGCTTGCCAGGTCTCAGCAAAGCCCGTAACAGGACAGAGGGAGCTGCTCAGCCAAGAGCGGGGCAGCAACCATCACCGCCTTAAAAAAAAAAAAAAAAAAAAAAAAAAATTTAAGTGGTTTTCCTGCCGTCATGTCACCTCCCCCCCCCACCCGCCCACACACACACACACACACGCACACACACTGCAGTTCATCCCCCAGCTTTGCCTGTGGAAGGCGGCGAGCTCCGGGCTGCCCCTGGAATGACAGCCGGCCCGCAACTCACTCGGAGCCCCGCCGCGCCGACCGGCTCACCGGCGCGCCCCCCGCCCCCGCCCCCGCAGCCCCCCGCCCCCCGAGCCGGCGCCGCGGAGCGCCCAGCGGCCGGCCCAGCCAGAGGGGCACGCGCCCGGCCACCTGACAGGATCGGCGGCCTAAGCCCCAGGAGCCCCCTCCCCGCACACGCCACCTGCGCGGCGCGGCCGGAGGCTGGACCCCTCGCCCGCCGGGAGGGATGCGCTACCTTTGGACTGGCAGTCGGCACAGAACTTGTTGTCCTCCTCCAGCAGCAGGTTGGCCAGGACCGCCTGGTACCGATCCACGTCCTTCACCGACTTGCCCGTCATGGCCAGGGTGCCGCCGGGGGCAGAGGGCGACGCGCCCTCCCCGCCCCCCCCGAAACCCCTGCTCGGTCGGGAGGTGAGGACTCCCGGTCCCCCGCCCAGGGGCACCTCCTGAGCGGGGGTGAGGGGTGGGGGTGGGGGTGGGGAGCCCTCCCTCGGGCCGGGCCCTGCGCCCCTTCTCTCGTCAGCCGCGCCCGCCCCCCACTCTGCAGCCCCTCAGCGCGGCGCCCCCTGGCGGGCTCAGGGAAAGGCCCGAGTCCTGAGGAGGCTGCCGGACTTAGAGACCCTCAGCCCGGGCAAACGGGGCGCGCAGAGACGCCCCCCCGCCCGCCCGCCTGTCTGTCTGCCTGTCAGTCTGTCGGTCTGTCGGTCTGCCGGCAGCGAGTCCCGCGCCTCGGTTTCCCTGGCAGCTGCCGCCCGCTCGGCCACCACCTCAGCCGCCTACTTCCGGCAGCTCTTCCTCTCCACCTCCGCCCAGCCCAGCCCGCGCATGCGCCCCGCCCCTACCGCGTCGCGCCGGGCTCTTCCCTCGGCTCCGCCTCTCGGGAGCCAATCCGGGCGGCGGCCAGGGGCGGGGCTTGGGGAGGGGGCGGAGCGGCCACGCCTCCCGCGCGTCCTTGGAAAAGAATGAATGGAGCCGCGCGGAAAGCTAGTGGAGGGAGTGGAAGCAAGAGAAGGACCTCGACAATTAACACTTGCGGAGTTCTTGCCCTGTGCCAGGCTCTGTGTTAAGCGCCTTATACGAATTATCCCAGTATAATCCTCAAAACGTGTCTGTGAGTTAAATATTTGTCATTCTTATGTAACCTGAAGGTTGTGGCTACTCCAAAGTCATCCAGCTTGTCCTTTTCCTCAACAGCCAGATGGAGGGCCCAACCCCCTAATCCGGGATAACGGGGACAACACATCCTCCCCAAGTTTTCAGAGGATCCTGGTCACCTCTCACTGTTCCCACTGAATTCTGGGTTCCTCTGTTCATTAGATTTCCTGCCATCTTAGGGCATTGTTTACCTGGTGCCTGGATACTTTCATGTCTTAAATCCTCCCCAGACAGCGCAGTTCTGTGCGGCAGACGTTCACTAAAGGTCATCTGGAGGGATGTGCTAGAGAGGAAGGGTGATTACAGCAAAACACACGATAGGGAACTACTTAAAATGATTATTAAGCATCACTGTCCAAAGCCACCCTCACTACACAGAACCCCTCCACAAAAATCCTCTTCTTGGGGAGCCTGGGTGGCTCAGTTGGTTAAGCATCTGACTCTTGGTTTCAGCTCAGGTCATGATCTCAGGGTCCTGGGATTAGCCCTGCATGGGGCTCTGTGCTCAGTGGGAAGTCTCCCTGAGGATTCTCTCTCCTCTCCCCCTCTCTGCTCCTCCCCTCACTCACCTTCTCTCACTCTCTCTCTAAAATAAATAAATAAATCTTAAAAAAAAAAATTATTTTTCTTTAGGGATTCACCTGCTCCCTGGCTAATGTTTTCATTCATTCATTCACTCAGATAATTGTTACTGAGAAACTTCTAAGTATCAGGCACTGGGCTAGGGGAAAGGGGAACAACATGATCCAATTTTTAAAAGTGGTTTTAAAAGATCACTGGCTGCCTTGGGAAGAATGGGTCAAGGAAACTGATTAAGACCAGATGCTCATAGTTCTCTCTAGTAAAACCCTCCAGGCTTCCCTCAAAACTTTCATTTCATCAGAGGGAAACCAATATTTCCTATTTATTAATCAAAATTATTTAATTCTTTGTCGAAACCTCTTCCCTTCTAGGCGTGCCTAGGAGACCTGACTTTCATAAACACATAAGTTCATTAAGGTATTTTTCCTAAACAAAATCTCACTTCTTTCTCTAGAAGGAATTCTGTATTTCTCCTGAGCTAATTTTCTCAGCCTGTAGCCAGCGTGTAATCATTTTTCTTACTTTAACCTATTTAATGTTTGTGACTTTAATATGTGTTTTATAAATGAGCAAACTGAAACTTAGAATAATGAGCTCCCTCATCTAGTGAGTAGTAGAGCTGGGATTTTTAACGTAGATCTCTGTAATTCCAGAGCCTTAGTACTGTCAGTTTTGCTTATGTTATTTTTTATAATCCTCAGAAAAACCCATTAAGATGGGTATTACCATAATCATGTTTCAAGAAATGATGAAACAGAGGCTTAAGTTGATGGAACGGAGGCTCAAGATTAATCGTTGTAAATGTGCCTTAGTTCAATCCTCCTCATTCCATCCCTTCACTATGTAAATAGCCTTATAACCTTAGTTCAATTTGATTTTTCAGCCCACTCTCTGGAGAAAGCTTTCTCAATAGCAAATCTGATTGAATCGCACCCTCCCACTTAAAAATCTTTTAGTGGCTCTCCATCATCTCTGACCATGGCTCTCAAATTTTCCCATCTAGGGAGAGGCTGCATAGTCTGGTGGTTAAGCTCACGGGCTACAGGACCAGAATGACTGGGTTTAAATCTTCAGCTTCACCTTTACAGTCTGTGTGACTTTGATCAGGTTACTTAACCTCTCTGTACCCCAGTTATATCATCTATCAAATTGGGGATGATGATGATGATGATATTAACAGGACCTATTTCATAGAATTATTACAAAACTTAACTAAGTTAATGCCTATAATATATTTAGAACAACTCTTGCCACAAAGTTAGTGACAGACTATTAATTCTCTTCAGTAAATATTTCTGACTTTCTGCCTTCTGGCCACATGATAGATTTTATTTCCTGGCCCTCTTATGGTTGGATGTGGCCAATGAGTTTGAGCAGAAAGGATATGTGTCACTTCACACCCAAATCATTTATTTGCTGCTTTAAGACTCCTCTGATTCTCTTTTCCTCTAGTATGACAACAATCAACGTTCAAAATACTGGTTGTCTTGGTTCAGAATGCCATAACAGAATACGGTAGACTGGCTAGCTTACAAACAACAGAAATATATTTCTCACAGTTCTGGAGACTGGGAAGTCCATGGTCAACAGATTTCATGTCTGGTGAAAGCCTACTTCCTGGCTCATAGGCTATCAATCTCCACAGCCTGACACTCTTGGAAGAGCCATGCTTTTCTGTTGCTGATGGAGCCCACTATGAGAAAGCTGGTGTCTATGTCAACAGCATTCCTTCTTGATGTTCATAGCACCAGGACTCCTTGGGATTCCAGGAGATCCCTTGCAAAGAGGGATAGAGTGGCCTCTCCCCAACTCTGTGTCATACATCGTCATTTGGGCCCCAAATTACTTGTATGTAGTCTCACAGTCTTTGTTAAAGACAGCTTGCCTAGCTTTTGAACCTCTCCCTCTAACCTGGGGGTTCAGACCCATCACCAGGGACCCAAGGAGCCTGATGGGAACAGGCTTCATGTCAATACAAACCCACCACTTTCTTCAAAACAGTTTATGCTCCCTACTCTTATTAAATATCTCTGTCTCTTCCCTCCTCAACCCTAGTTTCACAATATAACTGCCCATTACTGTCAACCAGCATGGATTCTGGGAGAGGAGACATAGTTGTCTGTATTGGTAATATCTGAATCCCACCCTCACTCCCCACCAATGGGATTGTGGTGTGTTGTCCAGAGGTGCATAATAATGACCAGACATCACACATGAGTGGTGGATTGTAGCTACATAACAATGCACCTATATTCACATTTCTTGCATTTTCAGGGCTCAGTCAGGAGGCACTGAGCAAGGATACCTGGCCTGAGCCTACTCTGCGGACCCTGCTGTACAATGATAGAAACTCACTCCTTACCACCTTGCAGAACACTGGGGGGAAAGACAAGATCTTAAGTTTCCAGGAAGGAAAAAAACAAGTCACATAAAAAGGATCAGGAATCAGAATGGCACAGAGTTCTCAATAGCAACTTTGGAAACCAGGAGACAATAGAATATTGCCTTGAAAATTCTGAGTAAAAAGAGTTGCCAACCCAGAATTCCATATCAGCCAAAGCATTGCTCTAGAGGCTGTGTTGAAGAGAGACACTTTTAGTTACACTAGATTTCAAACTCTTACCTGCTGTGCTGGCTGTGCCCCATTGCCCCTCTATATCCATTCCATTTTTCACCCTGTTCTTGCCCCCAGAGGCAACTACTGAGCAAGACAGCCGTCAGCCTTGGCAGGCTGACATCTGATTGGCTTCAGCCAATGGTAGGCATGACTGGGAAACCAGAAGGCAGAGGTGGAGAGAAGCTGAGTTATTTTCTCTGCTTCCTTCCTGCTGGCAGAACCATCACACCCCTAAGTGACAGCTAGAGTCCTGTGAGGGTGGCCCTCTCCTCCAGCTGTGGCCATTCTGGGACTACCCTCTCTTCTTGCCCTGTCAGGCTTGAGAGACAATAGCTTTTTGCTGTTGCTAGCCCAACGTACATCTATCATGCCCCTTGTTGGTGTTTTTAACCCTGCCCATAATTTTTTGAATGGTCCTTTCTTTAGGGACGCCTGGGTGGCTGAGTTAAGCATCTGAGCATCTGACTCTTGATTTCGGCTCAGGTCTTGGTCTCAGAGTTGTGAATTCAAGCCCCACACTGGGCTCCATGCTGGGCATGGAGCCTACTTTAAATAAATAAATAAATAAATAAATAAATAAATAAATAAATATCCTTTCCTTAAACTCTCTTCAACTGCCTCTTTTGCATCGGCCATAAGTTTCCTCTTGGAACTCTAATCAGGTCACCTCCCCTGCTTGTTTTGTCAAAAATGACCGAATAAACCAAGAAAAGGGAAAACACCAAGTCCAGAAAACAGAGCATTTAGCACAGGAAAAAGACAAAGGTCATTCCCAGTGTGCTGGTGAAGGGGAATTCCAGGGTGATGATTTTGCAGAATGCCTACTCCAGATTGGAGCCAGAGGACAGAAACTTTGGAACAGGACAGAGCCAGGAAAAAGGAAACGTATAGATGAGCTGATGTGTTGGAACTAAAAGGAAGTTCTCTTCTGTCAGAGGATGAATGGATGGATTAATCAGAGATTCATAGAAGATGAAGCAAATAAAAAATGGGGTGAGTATTGACTGCAAGGGGAAGAAAGCCTAACCAGAAAAGAAATGTAATCAGAGTTCATCTGTCAGTACTAGTTAGTCATTATATCACAGGTATTGAGCATTAATTTAACAAAACATTGTTACCTAACTATATTGGGAAAATGTGGGAGAAGAAGTTTATGGCATGGAAAGGAGGGAGGATATATAAAGAAGTCTAAATTCTTATCTTCCATAGCAGGAAGTGAATAAACAGAGATGAAAGGGTATATAATGGTCTTATAATCATGTCGTTTAGGTAAATTCATAAATTCTAGAAGAAACATTGCAAAAGTTGAGAGGAGTAGGGATCAGTGAGGGGTAGAGGGTAAGGGTGGGCCAGGGCATTATCATGTGTCATTATAAGCCTTGTATAACTACTTGACTTTTTAGCTATGTACAAATTTTTGATTAAAAAAAATTAATTAACCTAATACTTTTCAAAACCCCATAACCTTAGTATATCAACACTCACTGATGCTAAGAGATATTTCAAAATATTTCCAGTCGAGGCAGTTTTTATTCCATTCCAGATTGGCCTTGAATGGGCACTCATCTAGATTTTTTTCTCCTTTTGCCTGTTCCACAGTGCCCAGCTCTCTGTAAGTTCAGAATGCTTTTGAATGTACATTATAAGAAAACCCAACTAAACAAATATCAACAGAACAAGAAATACAGAGGCAGAGCAATTATATACATTTATTCAGCTCCCTGACAAGGCCGTCAGCATTTAGACTCTAGCACCCTATTTGCCATCATCAGCCTGTGGAATTTTCATCCATGTTCAGTAGATCTTTTTTTTTTAAGATTTTATTTATTTACTCATGAGAGACACAGAGAGAGAGAGAGGCAGAGACACAGGCAGAGGGAGAAGCAGGCTCCATGCAGGGAGCCCGGTGTGGGACTCGATCCCAGAACCCCAGGATCACGCCTTGGGCCCAAGGCAGGTGCCAAGCTGCTGAGCCACCCAGGGATCCCCTTGTTCAGTGGATCTTAAAGTGTGTTCCCAGCCCAATAGCATCAGCATCACCTGGAAATTTGTTAGAAATGCAAATTCCCAGCCCTGCTCCAGACCTAGGAGTCAGAAGTCTGGGAGGGAGGCTATATAAAATTTATACTATAAAACTTAAAATATAACACTTATATTTTAAGTAGCCCTCTGGGTGCTGCTGATACACTCTCAAGTTTGAGAACCACCGTGCATGCAAATCACCTCAGGGTCACAAAATAGTTGCCACAGTTCCAGACATCACAATATCTTTGAAGGCAAAAAGGAGGAAAAAGGAATGTCTCCAGTATGGCTGTTCCTCTTATCAAGAATTAAAATGTTTCCTAGAAAGTCCCAAAAGACATTTCCGTTAGAACTCCTGGGCCAGAACTAGATTTCATGGCTCAACACCTAACTATGAAGGCAGCTGGGAAAGTATGGACCTAGCTTTCCAGCCCCTCTGGGGGGAGGCAGCAGGAGAGAAAGGGCTGGGAATGGCTGGGGCCAGCCGGAAAACAACGCCTGCCACAGTGCCTTTGGTGGTCAGGACCACAGATACCATCACTCCTGACTCCCACCTCGGAAAGCGGCAAAAGATCCTAACACTTATCTGCAAAAGTAGGCTTAGAACTTCCAAATTCTTCAGCTGGGAGAATTGAAGACATAGAAATCTCATTCTTACTGTCATCTGCCTCTCATGGAACAGTGGCTCTGATCATAATTCATTATGTTAAAGGAACCACTTTCCATCAGAAATGAGTGGGGGAAAGAACAAGAGAGAACAGAGAAACCCATCCTGCCCCAGCAGCTTACAGCAAACTTCCTACACTTTAACATGGAGATTTGACATTGTGGCTACTTTGATACCATTGGCCAAACAGCCCAGCAAAATGTCCTGAGTGGGTACACATCACACAAGAAAAGAAGTGCTTCACTCTGCCTTCATAGCGTTCATCACGGTTTCCAGGCAGCCAGAGAGAAGATTCCAGGCAGGGAGATTAGCATGCAGAAGTAAAAAAGAAGAACCACAAGTTGTTAGAGAGGATGCAGGTGGTGAGCATCAGGAAAAGCTGGAGAAGGGCAGGGGTCAGATCACAAAGGGCCCTGTGTGCTGTGCTGAGGAGGTTGGACTCCACCTTTCTCCTGGTACCACTAAAGCTTGGAGAGCATCTTTACCTAGAGCCACAAATGGACTTTGGCACTTTGTCAAGGCTCTGCAACGATCTGACAAGTTTCATGGCTGTGTGGGTATGTGTACTTTTCTGAGGAGTGGGTGCTACATGTGTAACCCAGACTAATTTAGGAATCGCTTCTCTCAGGAGTCAAGGAATTAGTCATTAACATTTTTTTTAATCACCAGAATACATTCAGACTCTGGTTTCTAGATCCAGGTTAACTGGAAAAGGATAAAGTTCTGACTAGACCCAGGATTCCATTTTCCCATCCAGAACCTTTTTCTGTGCAATGTCCGCAATGGACAATCTCCAACAAGTGCCAAGAGAGGGGCAGGTTCTCCTCAAACATGGGAGAAACACTTGCCAGTCACAGAGGTCCTTCTCTCTCCAAAAACCTCTCAGTCATGTCACCATTCCCATACAAGGAGAAAGGAAGACATGGGATATCTGTGAAGAGAGATCTACCAGCTTTCCATCACAGCTAGGGTGCTCCAGGATGGCACCCCAGGAAGGCACCAGAAAGTGGAACAGGTGTGGATTTTTCCAAGGGCAGGGGGGCAGGGGTGGAATTAATGCAAAGGAATTTGCCTATGATTTGCCCCTGTGATTCCTGGTAAAAAGTAAGATCAATGGACCTGCTCCCCACCTTGAGTCTTAGAAGTCTCAACCCTGGAGGCTCATGATCATTATTTTAATAAGTGGGCAAGCATGGTGGGGCCAAATAGTATCACTCATTTTTCTTGACTCAAAAAGAAATCACTTTACAAAAATCAAAACGAACAACAGAGCTTTAAAAATGTTTGTTTTAGAAAAGGACACAGAAATGTTCTTCATGTGACCAAACCTGCTCCCCCGTGGTGTTATTTTGGTTCTTTTGGATTAATCCCCGAGTTTAAGAAGACTTTATGTTCTTGGCCCTTTAAGTATCACACACTGAAAATATTCACCCAAGTAAACTCAACAGACCTCAACAGTTAGCACCCTTGATTAGGTAGGAACTTCCCTCGACCCAGCTTACAGGGCCCTACTTACCCAAACATATGACACAACTAGTGCCTGAACAGGAAGTGGTCCAGATTTGCAAACCACCACACAAATTCAGTTTTGCACCAATGATACTGTCTTCCTCTTGGCTTTATTTCTTCCCAGAAAGAGACATGTCAGCCCAGTTTCCTCTTGTCCCAAAGTCCTCACTGATTCCTGGACCTCTTCCGGTCATGCTCTTACAGTGTCCTTGAGTAGGGACACTGACCTTTGTAACCTTTGCTAATCTCCAACACCGTGTGACGGGTCCGATCTGAGCCTTGCACTCTGAGGCACAGGCACTCTGAGGTTCTGTTTGGGTGTCTGCTGAAGGTCATGGCTGGAGAAACCAGTGATTTCTCTGCTGGCTCACCTGGCCTGGTCTCTGGTACTAATGATGTCCAACCATTGGCTTCATCGTGTGTTGCGTTCACTGAATTCAGAGCACCTAGCTGGGCTACCATTCCACGGCTTTTTGAGATGAGCATCCCATGGCCACCTACCTGCCCCTCCTCACGAGAGGGAAATTCACCCTCACAGCCTTTTAGAGGGCTGGAGAGCCCACTCCACCAATCTTGACTCTATGGAATGGTTGGAGACAATGCTTGTCTTCTTTCTGACTTACCAGCCCTCTGTCATTTCCAACAGCCGCCTATGAGCTGCCACATTGGGAAAGGTGCTCCGGTAAGTGACCTTAGAAAGGATGAGGAAAGGGTGCTTGGACTGCAGAGAAAATAACATGAGGATTAGAAATAGTAAAGAGCTCTCCACTTATTCACTGAGTGACCTCAGACAAGATACTTAACCTCTATATGCCTCAGGCTCCTGTCTTTAGCATGGAATTAAGGGTGGTTATGGGGGCACCTGGGTGGCTCAGATGGTTAAAGCATCAGCCTTCGGCTCAGGTTGTGATCCTATCCTAGAATCCAGCCCCTATCCTGAGATCCCCCTGGGATCCCAGCTGAGCGGGGAGTCTGCTTCTCCCCCTCCCTCTCCCTCTGCCCCTCCTCCTGTTCCGATGCTCTCTGTCTCTCAAATAAATAACTAGAATCTTTTAAAAAAATAAGAGCTGTTATAAAAATTTGAGATAATATATGAGACGTATCTGGAATATTGTAGGGTGTTTAACAAGTGGTGCCTATCTTTATTATTAATTATTAATTATAAACAGCAGGGCTATTTTGACCTTCACCCTATCACTGAAGTCATAAAAGTCTTTGCAGTAAATAACATAGCAGCAACATCGACCACAAAAAGCAGAAATAGTAATCTCAGAAAATTTTACAGAAATGCAATTGTGAGAGAATTTAATAAATTGAAAGTCCCAATAGAAAAACAGGGTAGGCGATATGAGCAAGTGCTTTGATTAAAGAAAAACAAAATGATCAATAAATATGAAAAAACTTTCCTCTCACCAGAAAGAAATACAAATTACTGGAATAATCAAATTCAGTTTCATCTGTTATGTTGGCAAAACTTTTAAAATTATGATACCCTCATTTGGGCTAGGGGTTGAAAACCAGTAATACTGTATATGGCTGGGAGGAGGGGTATGTGACTTATTAACCCAACCTCCCAATCCTGGGAACAATTCAGAAATATATATATTAGATGTCTCAGAATAGTGCATATCCTATCATGATGATTCCAGTTTCAGGAATTTATCCTTAAGCAGTAATTATAGCTGAATGCAAGGATATTCTTTAAGCACTATAATACTGAAAAATTGGAAACATACCAGAATCCATCCGTAAAAGGTAACTTTCTAGAGGTTACCACCACAGAGTTTCCTAAGCACAAAAACATAAAAGAATTCACATGTACAAAAAATTTAAATCTATATGTTAAAAAATCAAAAAGTATATTTAAAAGCAACCAACAAGCTGGGAAAATATGCACCACAAATTGGCAGAGGGTTAGGATCCTACTACACTACAAATAAAAAAGCCTTCCAAAAGAAAGATAAAGAGTTAGTTAGCTGAAGGCAATTCACAGAAAGAGTATAAATGGTGAATAGACATAAGAAAAATATTTAGCCTTATTGGAAGAAATACATCAAGTCAGCAAAAGAAGTTTAATTATAATACCCAGTGTTGTTAAGGATATAGGGAACTATATATTTTCACTAAGTGCTGTTGGAAGTTTGAATTGGTTTAATTTTTTTTTCTGGAAAACCACCAGTGGTATATTAAATACCTGAAGAAGAAGAAGAAGAAGAAGAAGAAGAAGAAGAAGAAGAAGAAGAAGAAGAAGAAGAAGAAGAAGGGGAAGGGGAAGGGGAAGGGGAAGGGGAAGGGGAAGGGGAAGGGGAAGGGGAAGGGGAAGGGGAAGGGGAAGGGGAAGAAGAAAAAGAACAGACCCTGTGCTCTAGGGTCTGTGCTTCTAGCACTAGGAAGGAAATGACTCCAAAGGAAATGATCCCCAAAATCCATAAAGAATTATGTATTGTAAAAAAAAAAGAATTATGTATTGTAACTTTCTTCACAGATTTATTCACAGTTTTGTGAACAGAGGCTAGTTGAGTAACGTATTTCTGTAGAGGTGGGAGGTTAGGGCAGGGAAATCAGTTGCATGGGTCCCATTGTTTAACTCCTCATGCATACTCTGGTGGACACCACAGATAGATACAAAAATGATTTGAGGGGCACCGGGGTGGCTCAGTTGGTTAAGTGTCTGCCTTCAGCTCAGGTCATGATCCCAGGGTCCTGGGATCAAGCCCCACATCAGGCTCCTTGCTCAGTGGAAAGCCTGCCTCTCCCACTCCCTCTGTCCCTGCTTGTGCTCTCTCTATATAAAATAAAATAAATAAAATCTTATTAAAAAATGATTTGAAAAGTATAACATATAGAAAAATACCAGGTCTGAAGACTATTTTTCTAATATGATCTATAAGAGGAGGAAGAAACTTTGACTTCACACTTTTCTCTCCTTCTGCCCTCCAACCAGATACAATTTCAGTTCTTCTTTTTTTTTAATAATTTTATAATTTTTATAATTTCAGTTCTTCTAAAAGTCAGGATTCTCCTCCCCTCTGGGCCTCCATTTGCTGTTCCCCCTGCCTGGAAGATCACACCTTACTCCACACCCCTCATCCCCACTTCATCCCTCCTCTGCCTTTGGCCAGCTCCCACTCAGATCTAGAACCCAAATCATGAGAGGAAACCCTAGAAACATAAGGGTTGATTGTATTTTTTTAAAAAAGTCAAACTCCTCTCAAGAATGTGTATAACTGTTGGGTGGGAATGGAGTGCTGAGACTCCAAGGCTTTGCTCAAGAAACCCCTGAAGGTGATGCAAACAACTTTATTTTTGATAATTTTTTTTATTTCTTTGAGAGAGAAGCATGAGCAGGAGGAGGGGCAGGGGAGAGGGAGAAGCAGGCTCCCCACTGAGCAGGGAGCCTGATGTGGGTCTTGATCCCAGAGCCCGGAGATCACAACCTAAGCCAAAAGCAGGTGCTTAACCAACTGACCCACCCAGGCACCCTGCAACCAACTTCTAAAAAGGATGGATGAGTCTAGTCAATAGCACAACTTTTGTTTTGCAAGTCTGGGGCCAGAGCTGAATTGCTTAGGATATAATGAGAAAGAAAGAGAATACATCCCCCATAAGGCTTTCTTCTCCAACCTTTATTTATATAGTATTCATCCTCTCCGCTAAATAAATTTTGAATAAATATTTAAGGACTATTGACTTAAGGGCTGCCAAATTAATATTCTGCCCTAGACATTCAAGGAAACATCCAGGTGTTTCTGCCCATCTACACAGTGCAGCTGAAACATCACTTTCACTGTAGCAGGCTCAGTACCGAGCACTCTAAAAAAAGCTTATAGGATGAATAAGTAATAGGATACAGTAGAACAGAGAAATGACTGGTTCTTTCAGAGAGATTTAAAACTCAGAACCTAAAAAAAAGATCATGACGTATGCCCACTTTGTAAACTGGGGTGTTCTGTTCTCCACCAGCTGCTTCCTGCTGGGGGTGGGGGTACATGGCCCGGTAGAAATAGTTCACAACTGAGATTCAAGGAAGCTGATTTCTTTCTTTTTTAACATTTTAATTCCAGTATAATTAACATACAGTATTATATTAATTTCAGGTGTGCAATGTAATGATTCCACAATTCTATTCATCAGTTCTCATCACGGTAAGTGTACACTTAATCCCCATCACCTATTTCCCCCACCCTCCTACCTACCCCTGCTCTGATAACCACCAGTTTGTTGTCTATAGTTATGAGTCTGGCTTTTGGTTTGTCTCTTTTTCTTTGTGTGTTTTCTACCTTAAATTCCCCGTGAGTGAAATCATATGGTATTTGTCTTTCTCTGGCTTATTTCACTTAGCATTATACTCTCTAGATCCACCCATGTCATTGTAAAAGGCAAGATTTCGTTCCTTTTTATGGCTGAGTAATATTCCATTGTGTGTGTATACACACACACATACACACACACACACACATATGACAAAAGAGACTTTCTTTATCCCATTGCGTACTCCTGCCTCCCCATCCTGTATGTGTACGTGTATTTATGTATACCACATCTTCTTTATCAGTTCATTTATCAATGGACACCTGTTGACTCCATATGTTGACTATTGTAAATAATGCTGCAATAAACATAGGGGGGGGCCTATATCTTTTCAAATTAGTGTTTTCATATTCTTTGGGCAGTAGAATCACCAGATCAAATGGTAGTTCTATTTCTAACTTTTTGAGGAATCTCCATACTGTTTTCCAGTGCCTGCACCAGTTTGCATTCCCACCAACAGTGCACAAAGGTGCCTTCTCCAAATCTTCACCATCAGTTGTTTTTTGTGTTGCTGATTTCAGCCATTTTGACCAGTGTGGGTTGGTATCTCATGGTGGCTTTGATTTGCATTCCCTTGTTGATGAGTGATGTCGAGCATCTTTTCATGTGTGTGTTGGCCATCCACATGTCTTCTTTGGAAAAATATTTGCTCATGTCTTCTGCCCATTTTTTTTAGTTGGATTATTTGGGTTTTTTGGTGTTGAGCTGTATACAGTTTTCATATACTTTAGATACTAACCCTTTACCTGATATGTCATTTACAAACAACTTTTCCCATTCAGGCGGTTGTCTTTTAGTTTTGCCAATTGTTTCCTTCGCTGTGCAGAAGCTTTTTATTTTGGTGTGGCTCCAAAAGTTTATTTTTGCTTTTGTTTCCCTTGCTTCAGGAGACATATCTAGAAATATGTTGCTACAGCCAATGTCAGGGAAATTACTGCCTGTGCTCTCTTCTAGGATTTTTATAGTTTCAGGTTTCACATTTAGGTCTATAATCCATGTTTAGTTTATTTTTGTGTATGGTGTAGAAAAGTGGTCCAGTTTCATTCTTTTGCATGTAGCTGTCCAGTATTTCCAATACCACTTAAAGGAACTTTCTTTTTCCCATTGCATTCCTTTGTCATAGATTAATTGTCCATATAATCATGGGCTTATTTATGGGTTGTTTCTTTTGTTCTGTTGATCTATGTGTCTATTTTTGTGCCAGTGCCATACTGTTTTAATTTCTACAATTCTGTAGTACATCTTGCAATCTAGGATTGTGATGCCTCCTGTTTTGTTCTTTTTCAAGGTTGCTTTGGCTATTTGGAGTCTTTTGTGGTTCCACACAAATTTTAGGATTATTTGTCCTGGTCCTGTGAAAAATGCTGTTGGTATTTTGATAGGGATTACATTAAATGTATAGATTGCTGGGGCACCTGGGGCACCTGGGTGGCTCAGTTGGCTAAGCAGTTGACTCTTGATTTTAGCTCAGGTCATAGTGTCAGGATGGTGAGATCAAGCTCCAAGTCAGGCTTCACACTCAACATAGAATCTGCTTGTCCTCCTCCCTCTTCTCCTCCCTGGGTCGTACTTGTTCTCTCTCTGTGTCTTTCAAATAAATAAATAAATAAATAAATAAATAAATAAATAAATAAATAACACATTTTTTTAAGTGTAGATTGCTTTGGAGAGTATATACATTTTAACAATATTTGTTCTCCAAATCCATGAGCATGGAAGTCTTTCCATTTCTTTGTGTCATCTTCAATTTCTTTCATCAGTGCTTTAGTTTCCAGAGAATAAGTCTTTTATCTCTTTGGTTAATTTATCAAGAATGCTGATTTCTAAACCTACCTGCTTCTCGTGCAGCTTTAGGCAACTCACTGGACACTAGACATGTTGAAGGCATTAGGTCTATAAAGCACTTGGTATGATTCTGGTTAAAACATTTATACTAAAAAAAAACATTTATACTCATAAATACAGGGTGAAAAACTCAACTAGGTCAAAATGGTGCAATCAAAATGCCTTGCACAATCTCCCTAATAATGAAAGAAGTTACTTGGCTCTTGCACGTTTTTTCTATCACAGTAGCTCACTCGTAAATGATAGACAAGAACTAGAGTTGATGAGGGTGTAGAGAAATGGCCAGGCTCATAAACTGTAGCAGGAGTAGAAATTGGTTCCAAACCTCTTGAAAGTAGTTTGAAACATTTTTGGAGTGGATTTTCAATGCACATACTATTGGACCAATCAACTCCTCTCCTAGAGATTGATCCCCCAGAAATAACAGCAGAGGCACCAGAAGAAGCATATCCAGTGGCATTCACTGTAGCATTGCTTGTGTGATCCTAACACATTCCGGGACTCCTGGCAGCCCAGTCTCCACATGGAGTCACATTCAAAGATGTTTAGCCATCAAAATTAAGTGGCAGTAGAGAAGAATGATAAGGGGATCCCTGGGTGGCTCAGCGGTTGAGCATCTGCCTTTGGCCCAGGGTGTGATCCTGGGGTCCCAGGATCAAGTCCCCGCCATTGGGCTCCCTGCATGGAGTCTGCTTCTCCCTCTGCCTGTGTCTCTGCCTCTCTCTGTGTGTCTCTCATGAATACATAAGTAAAATCTTTTACAAAAGAGAAGAATGGCAAGCTTGTGTCTCTCAAAGAGTGATAAGCTTCTCTGTAAGCTGTGACCATACCTCTCCCTAACTTCCAAGGACACTGGTCCTTTCCCTGGCCAAACCACCAAATGCAAGCCTCTAACTTTCTGTTCTCTTCCTTTCCTCCTGCCCCATCTCTCCACCTGTTCCTGATCCTGAAGTACAACGCCTGGGACAGGACAGAATTTTGGGTAGGAGGCAAGATAGTGGCAAAGTGAGGGGAGAAGCTGAGCGAAATGAACTTGAATTTGGTTGGGGAGGGACCACTACTAAGATTTGGATACGGGAAAGCACATGGGTAACTGCAAAAGATTGGAGGCAATATCAATGTCCTTCATTAGTGGGATGTGGCTTTAACATTATGCTGTTATACATAATAGATGCAGGTTTTTAAAAAGAAGGGAAATTTTTATGCACTTATTAGGAAAGACATTCGTGATATCTTGACATATTGAAGAAAAGTAAATTGTGCACAGGTGCCTGCGTGTGTGTGCATGTGTGTGCTTGTGTTTGTAGAAACCACTCAAGAGAGACACAGAGGGGACATTTTTAAGAGATGGGAGTCTGAATGCTATTTACTATTTTTGGTTTCTTGTAAAGATGTATTTATTTATCCATGAGAGACACAGACTGAGAGAGAGAGGCAGAGACACAGGCAGAGGGAGGAGCAGGCTTCTTGCAGGAACCCCGATGCGGGACTTGATCCCGGATCCTGGGATCATGACCTGAACCAAAGGGTGGCAACCAACCGCTGAGACATCCAGGCGTCCCTATTTTTTTTTTTTTTTTACAAACAACAATAGACATCAAAGCAAATAAGTGTCAACCTTTTCAAGTTCCTTTCCATTAATGGAAAGGAAACTCCTCCTGGACTAATCTGGAGGGTGATGGTGTAGTTGAAGTGTTGGCTCCAGACCTGGGAATCAGCTGACACCTGCACAGTTGTCAGTGGCCCTGCCCACCGCTCAGCCCTCTCACCCCACCCCCATTCGCAGCTCGGGTGGCTCCCACTAGCTTGATGATTGCCTTAAACACCTCTGCCAAAATCCTCGAGCACATCCTGCAGTGAGAGCTCGCAGAACAGAAGGTGTGAGCTGGAAGGAATCATGCCCATTACTTGCCAGAGCAAACACTCATGAGGAGCCTGTCTCACAGGGGACCTTGGCTGGCCACCAAGGACACAGCCCTGCCCTCATGGCCCTCGCAGTCTACTAGGGGAGCTGAGAAGTCCACAGTCATGCCAATGCCACACGATGCATTCTGATGGGGGGGGGGTGCTGGAGCATGTGGCAGGGGCGGACAACCCAGGGATGGCTTCTGGAAAAGGATGATGCCTCCACTTGACCCGAAGAACAGTAAGTGTGAGCTAGCCGAACCGGGAGCTTGATGGCTTCGTGGAAACTGTGCGGCTGCCAGGAGGCAGCGTGGCTGCAAGGCCGGGCGCTTGAGGCCGGAGGGAGGGAAGGCGAGAGGCAGTGTCTTCCAGCAGGAACGATCACAAAGGTCCTTCTAGATCAGCTGATGTAGGAACTTGGTCTGTACCCCAAGTCCATGCGGAGCCCTTGAAGAATTTCAAGCAGGAGACAAACATGACCGAGTCCCTTGGGAGAGACCACATGGGTTAACTTTTGGAGGGTGTGGGAGGCAGAACAATGTTCCCTCCAGGTATCTGCGTCCCAATCCCGGGGACCTGCGACTACATGACATGAGCCGGCAGGAAGGACATCGCAGGTGCGATTAAAGTGAGGATCCAGAGGAGGAGCCGGTCCTGGATGAACCTGCTGGGCTCAACCACAAGCATCCGTGAAAATGGACAAGGGAGGAAGAAGAGGGAGGCAGAGGGGACTTTGTGCTGGAAGAAACGGTCAGAAGGATCTATCGTGGGCAGCCCAGGTGGCTTAGCGGCTTAGGGCCGCCTCCAGCCCAGGGCGTGATCCTGGGGACCCAGGATCAAGTCCCATGTCGGGCTCCCTGCATGGAGCCTGCTTCTCCCTCTCTCTCTCTCTCTCTGTCTCGCAAGAATAAATAAATAAAATCTTAAAAAAAAAAAGATAAAGAAAGAAAGAAAGATCTATTGTTGCTGGCTTCAGAGATGAAGGGGCCACAAGCCAGGGGATGCGAAAGCCTTTAGCAGGTAGAAAGAGGAAGGAAATAGACCTCCCTAGAGTCTCCAGAAAAGAAGGCCGACCTGCTCACAT